CCCCAAAACCCCAAAACCCCAAAACCCCAAAACCCCAAAACCCCTAATCCTGCCTTCAATGCTGAATCAGGAAAGCATGCCTAAAGTCTATTTGCCAAGGTTGATTGGTAGGAGATTCCAGAGGGTCGGAAATCAAGTACCTATAGTGTTTACACACGAAATAATGCTTACTCTTCTCTAGTGGGATTAACTAGCTCTTTGCCTAACTCCCTGCGAAGTTAAATAATTAAGCAGTTTTTAGTAAGGATCATCAAATATGGGTAAAAAGAGAGGACTCAGCCTTGAGGAGAAGAGACATAGGATTCTCCAACTCTACTATGACAAAGTAATCAAAGTTCACTTTTGGATATAGCATCAATGCCTTTTTAGCAACAAATTCAGATTTAACATTTTTGTGTAAATTCATAATTTTTTCTAGTATATAAACTAACTTTTTATATAGAAAGAAGCATTCAAGCTCCCTGAAGTCGAAAAAATAGCAGCAAAGAAAGGAGTTAGTAAGTCCAAAGCCCATAATTTCCTTTAGCAATGCAATCGGTAAAAGACGTGAACAACTCCTTACTCTACGACAACCTAATAGAATCTGACAAAATAGGCAGCTCAACTTTCTTCTGGTCCTTACCTTCCAAAGGCTATAACCTTGTAAGTGCTCTTAGCCTAATCTTTACATAGAAGACCAAGTGTATTCAGAAGTATGATGAAGATATTGAGAGGAGTAAGAAGGAGATTGAGGGGGCGAAGAAGAGGATAGAGGTGGAGAAGGAGATGAGAGAGGACCCGGAGAAGGAGAGGGAGGGGAAGAAGGAGGAGATTGAGAGGGTGAGGAAGGAGAATGAAGAGATTGGAGTGAAGATTTTGGGGTTTGAGAGAACTGATCCGAAGAAAGTGGAGGAGGTGCAGAAGAAAGCGAAAGTGGCTAAAGATGCAGCGAATAGGTGGACTGATAATTTGTTTGAGGTGCAGAGTTATATAACTGATAAGAATCCGAATATTACTGAGGAAGACCTTGCGAAGCAGTTCCCTATTCTGAAGGATCTTGATAACATCGATTAATTCTACAAGTTTCAACTTGACATTCGTTTTGGGGTTTTGGGGTTTTGGGGTTTTGGGGTTTTGGGGTTTTGGGG